AAAAAAAAAAAAAAAAAAAAAAAAAAACAATTACAGAAATCTTCCTGGTCCCTGATTTGCAACTAGAAAGTGTGCACTACATATGCAGGGCACTAATGCAGGTGGCCATCTTACCTGACCCTCACTCTTGGGTTTATCGTAGATTTGCCCTGCTAGTGGTTTTCTTCTCCATTTAAACACACCTTTCTATATTTATAAATATCTCTATGGTACATTTGTTTATACTTAAATTGTCTCAAAGTCTTTTTAAGCCTGAAATTGTAATCATTAACACTTGAACATGTATCAGGCACTTACTGAGTTCCTATCTGTCATAGAACTGCATCATGCCATGTAACTAAAGGTGAGCGCAACTCAGTTCTGGCTCTCAAGATAATTACGGTGTTGACAAATAAAAAGGCAGGGTGCAAATGACAGGTGTGCCATGGGGCCCTCGGATGGCACACGGGTGGGAAAGCAAGAAGGCATCCTAGTGACAACGCAGCTAAGAACTAACAAACAGCAATACACCCAGCCAAAAAGCCTAAATGTCTCAGGGTGGGGCAAGGACAGAAAGCACCTGTTGAAACGAACATGTGTTTCTCCAGAGGTGACATTAACAGCTGTGCTGTATTAGTAGGGTCAGGCCCTGTATCCCCCACCTGACATCACACAGGGTGTCATTTCAGACCCGAGTAGGTGTAGGCACAGATAGTTGATAAATGGGGTGGTGGGTGTATAGAAAGTCTCTTATTTCTTCTGTATTTTTAGGAAAATAAGCGAAATGAGATGATCAGACTTCATCTTCACTGTGCATTGGGATTATCTTTGTCAGGAACACTAGGATTGCTCCATTGCCAGCTCCTGTGCTCAGTCGTTTCTCTTACCTGTTTAACAAGTCAGATTCCTTCCGCTTTTCTTTTTCACTGGCTGTAACCATTGTCTCTTCGTTTTCCTTTTGCCTCACTGCTCCTCCTCCTCAGTCTCCTTTGCCCAGTGCCTCTTTATGTTCTTGACTTCCGATGTCCAGGGCTTTTTCTGTGGACTGCTTTTTTGTTTGTGGTTACTTCTAGGGTCTCTCATAGCCCTGTGTTTCTGAACGTCACACTCACTGATGGCTCCCAAATGGATTTGAATAGCTGACCGCCTGTGTGTTATCTTCTTGTAAGTCTTTAGCATCTCGCATGACATGTCCAAAGCTGTTCTTTGTTTACCCTACACCCCTCCCACCCAGTCCAGTGTATTCCTGTCAGTACTTTTCTCCTCAGTGAACAGGTGCTCAGCTAGTTTTTTGGGGTTTTTTTAACTAGTTATAAAACTTCAGGCACTCTTGCCTGCTTTGTCCCTTAACTAATTTCAATGAGACCATCTCCAGAATACGTCTCACACCTTTTTTCCTGTCTCCACCATGGTTTTGGCCAGCTGTCAGCTCTCAGATGGGAAAACTCTAACCACCTTTAGTATTCTCGCTTCTGTTACTGTTCCAGAACCTAAGTCATCACAGCACCCTTCTCAGAATCAGCCAGAGCCTGTCCATCCCACTCGCAGACTGCTCAGTGCCTTTAAGACCCTGTATTCTAAGACACCTCCTCCTTCATTCTGCCGTTTGATGTTATGACACTCTCGTGCTCGCACTGCTGCAGTACTTACGGCCTCTGCTGCTCCTTGAACTTGGTATTTTCTCTCTCAGATGCTTTTTTGGTGGCCTGAGACATTTTCTTGGGTAATTGGTATGACTCCCTCCTTTCAGGCTCTTGCATTAATGTTGCCTTTTCTGAAAGACCTTCTCTACTTCAGGATTAGCTAGGATCCTTTGTGCCGAGTACTTTTGGTCCTCCTTACCATGCTGTTTTTCTTCACAGCAGTTATAACTTGTTAACATAGCACAAATTTGTTATCCTCCCACTCAAATATAAGGTCTACAATGATAGGACTTATTTTTCTTTACAGCATCTCAGTTCCTATGACAACACTGGTGGCTACTTTGTACATATTTAATACAAATTATCAAATGAATTTAATAATTGTTTGAGAAATAGCTTTTCCGTGTATCTCCGAGTGGCTATATAATTCAGTGTTAGCTAATTGGGTGTTTTTCTTCATCCACAGTGCCATGGTTAGTTCTGTTCAAGGGACCACGTATCCCAGCCAGGCTGCAATGTACAGTCCTCCTCCTGCTGCTGCTGCTGCCGCCGCCGCCGCCACTGTGGACGTCACAGTCTACCAGAATGCGGGAACTAGTATGTCCCAGGTGCCAAACTACACTTTAACGTCAGCCACCCTGCCTCAGCCGGGAGCCAGCCAACAGCCACCTCCACCACAGCAGCCGTATTCTCAGAAGGCTCTGCTATAGGACCTACTTTTATTCTTTGTGGCAAATACCTGCTAAATGCCACTGACGCTGTTACGAGATTCATTAATATCTTAAGATTTGTTTATCCTCAGCTTTTAGAAATCTGTCTTGGTCAACAAATTCAAATATTCAAGAAAGTAGAACTCTCTAATTTGCACAGACATTTTAGAGGTTCACTCCTCCCTCTCCCCCAGAGGAATGAAAAGACTTACAACATTTAGTTCCGTTCATAATATGAAGAATTGCTACAAGATTATTTGTCTTGTAAAATTACCTGGTCTGCAAAGAGTCAAACTTACAGAAACTGTTGTGGTATATGTTATGTACATATCTGGATATATAACTTCATTAGTGGCCCTTTGAATCACAATGGGATCATGTGAACATATTTAACACTGTGTTAAATTAATTTACTTTGCTCTGTTATTTTAATCATGACAACTACTTTGTTTCCTCATGTTTTATGTAAATTTAAGGTAGTTACGCTATCCATTCAAACTGCAAGAAAACAAAGTTGTAGCATATTCACAAGACGCATTGCTGTCCAACCTCCTTTTACTAACTGTAAGCTGAGTTACCTGTATTACGTCTTTCTGTAGCCTCTACGTCCCACTGGCTGTCATCACACCAGCGTACAGTAGCTAAATTTTTGGTGCAGTTGCAGAAATGATAATGTTCCCTTTTAAGCTTACATTTTGGCATGATATTTCAGATATTTTGGGACCATGAGACAAAATTAAGTAGGATCATGTTCTTTATATCTTATTTTTAAAGAAATAATGTCAATTTCCTTTTTTCTAGTTGCACATAGTTCATTAGGTTTCTAAGCTGTATGCTGTGTTAATTGGTGGCAGTGACACCAAAGACAGAGGCAATGGATAGAAATTTTTAAACTGGAATGAAAACATGAGTCAACACTACATTTTCAGTCTCTTGTAATTTTTTAGGGTAGAAACAAAATTTGATTCATCTGTCTTATCCTACTACTAGTAGTCTTATAAATATGTCTTTAACACATTGTATTCTTTAATTCTTCATTAAAATGGATATAAGTAGATCTTTCAAAGTAATTCATATTTCTGGCTTTGCTTATCAGTTTATATATTTATTGTTACCTTTCAAACTGGAGTTTTAGGCTACTTTCTCCCCTTTCTCCCCTTTAAAGTTCTGATGGAATTACTTTGGCGTGAGTATTTTTGAATGAATGCATTTCTTTTAATTCATACAAAAAATGTTTTCCACTGACATTTTAATCATAAATATTTATAATTTCCCTGGTTGTTCTCTACTATAATTTTAACACCATTATTTTAAAACATTGAAAAATTGAGTTGAGTGCCATTTTTAATGAGTTGATTTAACAGGTTTCACACTAAATGCAAATTTGATTTATATTTTCTAAGATTGTAATCAAGTAGATTATGTGACAGAGGACTCCATCTTTGGCAGATGATCTTAACGGTAACAAATTTCACAGGTTCACATTTAGAGCACCATCTTCAATTTAAGTGGTTTTGCTGATGTTATATTTTCCTGAGCTTATTGTCCACAAATACTAACTTTAAAATTTCTATTCAAAGTCCATTCTTTAAGTACTTTTTAAAGTTACATTGTTGAAGAGATTATAATTTTTTGTTCCAATTTGCATATTGTTTTAATTGATTCATTTTTCCTGAGTCATATTGTATTTTTTGTCATGATAAATTTTTGTTTACAACTGTATCCTTTTCCCATTTTAATTTTGGTAGCCTTCATATTATAAAATTAATTAAATACTTTCTGGTATGCTTTCAGCCCTATGAAAGTCAAAAAATGGTGAAATGCAAAAAAAGGCCAACAACAACAACAACGCTACCTTTATTACAATGCGTATACATTTCCCATCATCTTTAGATCACTAGGCTTATAAAGAGTTAAAACTTATTAAGCACTTAAAGCTGATACCATTTTAGTTTCTGCTTCTCACTAACTAAGGATGAAAGTGCCAGGTGGAAAATTTTCAATGAAAATTGTAGCACTGGCTTTTCCATCTTTCAGATGTCACGGCAGGGATGGAACTAGGTGGACACTAGTTAGGGTCACAGTGATTTTCTTTTGAAACCTTTTGTGTTGCACTTTCAAGGAATCGTTCATTAATAGCTGTCCTTATTTTGAAGGAATAGAATTTATAAAATGAGCTAACTATAATGTAAACTTCTGTGAAGCCATTTTTATTTCTCAGTTTATTTCTTTCATAAAGTTTGAGGTATGTTTCCATAAAGTTGACACTAAATGGAAAAAATTCAATCCAGTTACTATGTAGCATAAGTAGCCAACAGACTCCATGGCTCATTGGATATAGTAATATATGAGTGTCCTAAAACTACTACTAATGATGTGTAATATATAGTTAATATGATTTTACAGTCTTTTCTAACTTTGTGGTCTTCCTTCGCTATTTCCTGTCTCCCCTACTAGATGAGGGACCTTTTGATACACCTCAGGATTCCCTTCATATTAAAATACTTGTGGAACTTTTTTTCCTGTACCTCTAGTTCTTATACTTAAAAGTCCGTTGTTTTTCATTTCTGATAGATACAGCTTTCCTATGTGACATATTGCGCTTGAACATCTTTTGTCCAAAGCATCAGGGTTGTGTGCGAAAAACATGAAGTCCTAGATAATAAAAATGTAGGTATAAAAATTACAGAAATTATTTTCTAAGATGAAGTTGATTGGTATTGGTCAAATCTTCATCTGTTACACATTAAGATCACTATTTTCTTTTTCTCATCTATTTCCTTGTTTTACTTTGCTTGTTTTATGTACTAATAATTATTCTTTTTGGTTATACCACTTTTAAATATTAATAACAAAAATGTACTTTAAATTTTGCACTCCTGTATTATTTTCTAGTTTTTTGGTGGTTTTCTTTTGTTTTTTGTTTGTGTGGTTTTTCTTGGGGGAGGAGTTCAATTTTGTTTTATTTTGGTTGATTAATTGCTTTTCTTCTTAAAATATGTAGAAGAAACCTACCTAAATATTTTCTTTAAGGTCTTATAATTCTCTTTTCTTGCAGAAGGGGAATAGGAATTACCAAGTTGGCTTCTTAAAGTTAAGCATCTGGTGCTATAAATGATGTTTACTCAGCTTTTTGTATTGAGATCTTTTAATCCTACAGAAAGATTGAAAGAGTAATACATCAAACACCTAAATAGTCTTTATCTGGATTCACTAATCATTAACAGTTTGCTTTATCTCTTTAATGTATGTGTACATGTGCAAATCTGTATTTGTATATAGCTGTGTCCCTCTACTCACATATACATTTATGTGTGAATATAAAAGTTGCAGACATTGTGAACTGTACTTCTAAGAAATTCTTATGTTTCATAAGGATAAGGAAAGAATCTTTCGTAAAATCTAAACCGTTATCACATATAAGAAAACTAACAGAGATTCCTTAGTACATTACCAAATGACCCCGCACTGTTTGTATGTCATCTGAATTAATGTCCACGTCCCTCCATTCCCCCCATGATAAAGACTTTTTAAAAATCTACACTGGTTGTCTCAGAATGTCTCACATTCTGGACATATCTCTTTCTTTCACTTGATGCTATATTATTGTAGTGATTGTTACTATTTATTCTTAAAAGATTTTAAATCAGAAGTATATGATTTATGGCTAGAAGTGAACCTAATTTTTTTCTGTCAGAAGCTGTACTCCTATCTGAACATCTTTAACTTTTAAGTGTTTGTAAAATAGACTATAACTGACCATTGATGTTACCATGGCTCAATATAATCTTGTGGTCTTCATTTTCAGTTCTATTCAGAGTAACTGAAGAAAGTTTGTGCAACCCGCCCCCCAAAGAAAACAAAAAGCAGAACCTCACTCTCTGCCTTTCAAACGAAAATCAGCTTTTCTTCATTTCTTTGCCTACTCAACTTACTGTGGGTGGCTCCTTGGCCATCTTAGAAGTATAATCCACGCATACAGTGTGATATCTTTGGGTGCATACATTTTGGAATGTTTGTTTTAAAGATTTCTCATTCCTTATAGTCATACCTTTGATGACACTGAAATTGCTGAAAGGAAGGAAAAGTTCTTAAAAAAAAAAAAGGTCCCAACTGTTTCCTAATTTTCTCAAGTTGGTTACCAGGTTAGAAGCACGTTGAATAAAATACATAAATCACAGTCAAGTTAGGAGCACGTGTCTGTTAAAATAATCTGTATAACTTGTTTTTTAAACAGCTTATTTAGGACCTTAAATTAGTTGTTAATGGCTTTGTTAAAAAATGTAGTGTTTGTAATCTATTATTTTCGTCATAGGACGTACAAGGTTTCTTAGCTGCAGAGCCATTATATGTCTTGCTACTTTAAAAAGTTATGGTTTATGAACGATTGAGAAAGTTCTCAAATTAATTTGATGTCATATTACATGAGGTAGGTAAGAGGCCAAATAGGAACATTTATGTAAAACATCCATATGATATGTTTATTTTTCTCTGAATAAAGACAGAAAAAAAAATCAGTTTAACTGTTTGGAGTTTGTTCTTCTTTCAGAGAAAAAATATTTCAAAACAAGTATCTTTGATAGTCTGTGGTTTACAAATATAATGATAATATACCCAAAGGAGTTGTTAAATGCAACTGGAGTTGTGATCAGCAATGCAGGTAAATTCACTTAATAGTTGTCAAAGAGGCTTCATAATAACAAGTCCATTTCTAAACATGGTAGATGGCACATGATAAAGCAGTTGATTAATTTACATTGTAAATGTATTATAGTTTGTGGATGCAGATTTCTTGTAAAGGTGCTGGCTGGTGGTGGTAGTATTTTGTATTGAAGATAAAAATAAGAACAAATTGTAGGAATTTTCTGGTTCATTTTGCTTTTAACTAAAAATTTCAGCTTATTGACCCAGGAACTTTAACCCAGATAACAGCTGCTGTCAAAGAATGTCTTGGTAGATAAATGGATCTTGGGCAGCTCTGTGAATCTCTTGGGGTTGCCTTCTATTTAGTACTTGTAATTTCCAGGACTGATGCAACTACCTAATTCTATGTAGTTTGCAGAAATTCAGTGCTTCATATCCTCTACTCCTGTCTGCCTTAAATGTCTGACATTCAGCCCGAGGAACTCACCTATGCCACTGAGTTTACCCTTGGCATCTTCGAAGAGGAAAGACGGTGGGATGGAGTTGGGTACTGTGGTACTGAACTGGGGAACACGATTTCTAGCACGGTGGTAAGAGTTGCCTTTCTGCAGATAATGTGGGGATACCACATTTCCATCATTAAATGGTGAGGCTTGTTTCTGTTTGAAGGGCCCTACTAGGAACATCTGCACTCTGGGTAGAAGTGCTCTCACTCGTACCTGACTGAGGAGAAACTGTACTTGTGTACTGCTTTACAGGACAGGACGTGGGTAGCATCACACCATGTGAAATCTTACTGTCCTTGATGTTCTGGTGGGCAACGTGGTGCCCATGGTCCCGCTGGCCCGAAAATGATAACGGAGGCAGTGTGCCTCATTCACCGTGATTTAGCTGTTTTGAGTTGCTAGGATTCTAGAGTGCTGTGGAAACGTGATTTCCTGCTTTTGTGGTGGCAAAGAGTATCTTCAAATAAGCTGCAAAATGTTGGCATCGTAAGTACACGACCTGGACAAAAGGCCATCTATGCCATTTCTTTACAAGTTACTAATAAGTAAAAATAATGTAGCCATTATATTTCAGAAAAGTTGATTGTGTGGTTCATTACCTGAATCCATTTTTATACTTAAATAAAACAATCCCACATATATCTGTTTTTAGTTTTCCTGCTCTAGAAGATTAGATTCCCTGTTGGCACTTTAAAAATAACTTTCCTAAATTAATTTCCATTATTTAATGTAATAGGATAAAGAAGTAGTGACTTATCTCAAGTGCTGAATAAAGTAGATGTGCTTTTTATTCTTTTTTTGTAGAGGGAAAAGATAACCTTTCATTCTCCCTTTTAAAACAGATGCCTTTAAAATTTTTTTTCCGGTTTTGCCCTAATTTTTTCAAGAACTGTCCTAAAAAGGAATGCTAGTTGCCCCCCCCCGAAAAAAGTTATTTCATAATAAATACTGATTCTGTGTTCATACAGTTAATGCTCTTTCCTTTGAAAAGCAGCTTGTAGTAGAGCTTAGTGAATGTTTGAATATCAAAACTTCAAGACTTTCATTTATGTGATTGTCAGATATAAATTTACTTGGAGAGGGAGGTAGTACAGTAGATTCTCTTCAAGTTATTTTGTATTTGAAACATCTGTAGGGAGGTCAGAATTACACTAGGCTGTAAATTACTTCCTCTTTGCTTACTCATTAAACTAAGTATTTTTATTTTCCTGCCTGCTTTTCATATGGAAAAAGAATACATTCTCAGGGGTTTTGGCATGATGTGAACAAATTCTGTTTGTAACTTTCATTCAGCATTTGTAGCTATTTAACTGTATAGAATTGTATATTTGAAAGGCAGAAAATACCCCCAGTTTTAATTTTCTGGAGCGTACTCATTGAATCTTGATTCTGTTTATACTCTTCGTAGGGAAAACTAAAACTGAATTATTGTCCAGATCATGCCAAATATTTTATGTATGCTGTAATTTAAAATGGCCAGAAAATTGTTTTCGAAGTCAAAAGAAAATAGTAATGTGATGGAATGGTGTTTAGGTAATATATTTTAATAGGTTTCTCAAAAGTAACTATTGTGTCAGCCATGGTGGTACACACCTGTACTCCCAGCACTCTGGGAGGTACATTGCAAGTTAGATCCCAGCCTGGGTAACTCAGCAAGACTTCGTCTCTCAAAAAATAAATAGTTGGGATGTGGTTCACCACCACCCCATGCCACCCTCGCTCAGTAATCACTAAATTAAGACTTGAATGGCATGGTTTAAATTACCGTGTTGCCTGTCTTTTGGAAGTGATATTCCTGTTCTTTGTTTCTATTCATGCCTTTTTACTCAAGTACTGCTTATATATAACGCACTTATTTCTAGATAATTATTGCAAGAGCTGTCATTTAAAGTGTTTTACGGAATGCTTAAAATTAGGCTAAGAGAGATTATTAGTGGTAGTTTTCAGCAGATAACCTTTTGTGTACTATTCTTTGTTATAACTTTGATGAAATGGAACTCAGTGCAGTGAATTGTGCTCCATTGCACATGGTGCATTCTAAAAATCACCGTGTTCTGCACAAACAAGTCTTCAATAAAAAAGCCCCAGGGTTTATGGGGAAGATGAGGTTAGAGACACAGCACTGGGAAACTTCAGTAATGACGTCCTGAAGAATAAAGATAGGAACTGAATACAGCACAGTGTTCCGCATGTCGAGAACATACACGAATGAGTGGCGCTTCACCTCAGGGAAGGCCGAGGTGGGCACTGGAAGAGTCCAGCTGCGACTGCCTACGAAGCTTTGGAGAGATCCGACTGAGCACGTGCGGTACACAGGTGGCTGGCGGCTGTGTGTGTGTGTGTGTGTGTGTGTGTGTTGTATGCTCCCTTGCTGGCTGTTGCTTTCCTCATCTCGCCTGTTGTGTCTTCGACAAAAGGATACAAATGTGAAATTTATGTTTTGCTCATTTTCTCTAGTTTTATCAATCTGGAACAAATTTGCATTTTCCAAGCAAATGCGGTATCAGTAATGACTCTAAAAGTCATTCAGAGAAGGAGACTGAATGGCTACTACTTACCATTTATTTCCAACTTAACACTTTTTATACTTTTAAGAAATTAGTAAGTATTCTAGACAGCATCTTACCATATCATACATGATTCCAGGTTAGCATAAAAACGCTTTCTAATT